ATATATTTATATATTTGGCAGTGCATATAACCTTGCAGTAAATAAGTTATTCCTGACAGTCGATTGTAATTATATTTGTGATAAAATTAGGCATTTTACTCTTACTGCACAGATAACTTGTTCATCCATTTATCCTTTTTGCAATTCATTCATTAAATTGTAAGGTAATGAGGAATTCACGTGATATTACATTTCATCTATGCGTCCTTGCTTTATTTGTATGTTGATTATGATATATGATATTTCTGATAAAATGAGGCATTTGAAAAAAAAAAAATTGGACATTTTTAAGTAAACGTTTACTATGTTTATTCTAAGTGATTTACCTAATGGAGATTTTTCTCTTTTTTTTTTTCATTGGGAAATTATTTTTCACGAATAGATGAATGCGTGATCTATTGATTTAGGTGTAGATACTCATATGATATATGTGGGATGATCAAGATATGAATGATCACAATAAATTACTGGGACATTCATTTTCTTGTTAAGTTCTGCTATATAGAAGTTTTCCTCACATAGAGGTTGTTTCAGAAATTAGACGCGATGATTGATGTGGAATTATTTGTGGAAAAAAAAATAAAAACTATAATAATCATGATCAGAGATAGCTTCATATTTCTTCTGTTTTTAGTAACTTGTGAAATTAATTTTAGAAAAGAAAAAAGAATGAACAGAAAAGAAGTTGGTCATGATGATGTGCAAATGGGAGCGATCCTAATGAGAGATCTATCAGCGGAGTCACCGCCATCTTCAGTGCCATCATCCTCAAGTGGAGCCGTTCTCGTTCGCCCACCCAAATTGCTAACAGAGGTCCTTCAACAGGATTGCAATGAATTACTGAAACAAGAGTGTCAACCATCTGCAACCCTTCCCATACATATATTGCAGCAATATAGGGATGAAGAGAAGGTACCGATGTTTCTCGTGAAAATGTGGAATATCCTTGAAGATCCGGAATTTCAAAATATAATATGCTGGGATAAGGTTTGGTTTTTATGCTTGCATTAGTTTTATCATTGATTTGAACTAAATTTAATCTAAAATTAATATTCGGTCAGTCTATTCTTATCTAAATAAGTGAATGCAGAATTTTATTTCACGTTCAAAAAAACATTTTTTCTGATTCAAGTTTAATAGACAACAATTAGAATTTGTAACGACTCCAGAACACTTTATAAATAAGTTAGAACTTCTGACATACAAAATGATTTTTATTAACTGAATTAACTGAACTGAAGATCTTTATAGACAGGGATTAAATAAGCGATTTGAAAAATGTCAAGTTTTGGAATAAACACTGTTTTTTAGAGCGGATATAGTTTCCATGTATTGGATCCACATCTGTTTTGCCGTATAGTTTTGCCGCAGTTTTTCAAACACAATAACCTGAATAGCCTGATACGCCAGCTCAACATGTGTAAGTGTTTATTGTGATGTTTCCAGTTGAAGGAACTCGAAAATTAAGCACTTAAGCAATTTATAATAGCAACATAAATGAAGAACAGTCTCCTTACATATATATCTTGGCAATGTAATGATTATGCACTAATGAAATTGTTCGACAATGGTCGTTAAATAAAGAGAAATTTGTGTAAAAATTGTAATACAAGCCGGAAACTTATATGGGATGTTCATTCTAGTGTAGCATTCTTTGAAAACACTTACAGATAACTTTTTATGATATCTTAGAGGTGTTCTTGATTCCCACATTGTTTCTTTTAATTCACTTTTTGATTAATCCTTGCGTGATTTGGATCTTCTTTCATTAGATACACTCTTGTTTGAGGTTTTGCTTGAGATACATATATTATCACGCTTTAGTATTACGTTTTTTTTATATCGTTATTTCAGTATTAGTTTATCCGGATTCTTATTGATGTTTGTTTTATTATTAGTGAGAAATCATATATTTTAATATTTTAGATGGTTTCCGGAAAATGACGCCCATCGAGAAATCAAGTTTGGCACGATCTGAAAGTGATCAGGATCATTTGGAATTTTCTCATCCGAATTTTATCCAGCATCATCCCGAATTGTTGGTTAATATCAAGCGCAAAACTCCTGGTAATCGTAACAACGAGAATAATTCAGTGGCTATGCCCCCAAAAGAAATAAGTGTCCTTGTGGATGAAATACGACAGCTGCGTGAAAAGCAGCGAACAATGGAAAATAAAATGGCACATCTTGTAAAGTATGTTCTTAAATATGGGTGATGTGGGCTCATCGTTGTCTTCAGATCAAATACAACGCACAGAGAGAAATTCGAGACACAGGAGAGTCTCGCTGAGATGTGATTTTTTTTAACTTCAGGTCCTTGACAAATCCTAGATTTGACATATGGTATAATTTGTTTTTTATTCTCGGTTGTTTTTCACAGATATAATGATGCATATCCAAGCAATATTTTTATTGATGTTCAAACTTTCTTTACTCTTAAAAATCCAAATGTTACTTTCGAGACGAGTCAAGTAGGCAAACGAAGGAAGCTTAAAAAATTCGGCCATTTAACACCTTTCTTTTTTTAACAATTTTTGGACTCAATTCGGAAAAATTAAAAAGTTTTTATATATGAAGTTGACAGGAATAGATATAGAGCTATTAGGATTCTGTGAAAGAATTGCACTGTATT